TTTTTTTTTTTTTTTCCTTTTCCAGGTATTTTTTTATTTTTATTAGGATTTTTTTTTTCATGTTTAAAATTTTGTATAAGTAATTTTAAAAAAATGGATAAATAAATAAAAAGAAAGTAATATGATTAAGTAATTTAAACGAACTGTTTTGATTTCTGAATGAATTTTACATAAAAATTATTTAAATTAGATTCTAAAATGGATCCAAATCAGGCAAGACTAGTTTAGAAAGTTACAAGCTTAGTGGAAAAGCATTCCTAATGGATTTACATCCAAATATTGGCTAGTGATAAAGCACCCTTCTCGTCTGACTGAGTTCATACTGTTGACATAACATCAAATACTGGAGGATCAGTTGTTGTCTGTTGATGCTTAGGGTTCAGCTCTTGCTCATCTTCTTAGTTCTTGATATTATAGGCACAGCAACCATCAGCTACCTCCTAAAACAAGATGTCATAAATTTAACTATCCAGTAATTGTGGAGTACACAGTAATTAAAGGGAAATTACAATGAAGTAATTGATCCATGTCATCTGCTAATGTAACCCAATAGTTGGAAACTAAAAATCCAAGTGGCAGGGATGAGTAAGTACTGGGATCAACGACATTACTTGAACATGATATAATCTATAGGTTGTACAATTGTGTTCTTCAGTTCTAAAAAGTATTGAGTTGAATGATATAATACATGATTCACGAGCTAACCCAAAAGATCAAAATTACAAGCAGTAAATCTTTTATCCAATACATCTAGATGGAAAATTTTAAGTATGAAACAATCAAATTGAAACCTTAGTTGAAAATTGCCTGGCCTTTTTACTTTTTTTTTTTTCTTTTAATGAGTTTTATTGCATTTCCATCATCTATTTGCAAATCAGGAAAATATTCTACACAGGTACCTGATGTAACGTTATTGTGGCATGAAAATTTATACGCCCCCTCAACAGCAGCGACATCCAGGGTTTATGTCACGGACGGTCACACATACTTCAAGATTAGTGGACTTCTTCAACATTACTATGCACATGCTTTCTGAAGAGGCTAAGCAGTGCCTGAGCCTGCAATGACAAGTTTAATTTTGAATTAATAATACTTTTCAAAGTTGAAATTATAGGAGAACAGAACCTATGACAGTGAGTACCTTATCCTTGGCCCTCGTAGTTCCAGATTGAGACAACGCCACTAAGGGTGGGATAACTCCTTCTTGGATAGCCATGATGCAAAATTTATTAGAGGATGAGCAGATCCGTAGTAGTGCAGCTGCTGCATTCTCTTTTCCTCTAGCAGAACCCAATTCAATAGCCTCGACCAACACAGGGATCCCACCCCCTCTACCAATTTCAACCTTCCCCTCCTGGATTGTAGAAAGATTTGCTAGAACAGCAACTGTCTTGTCAACCATTCCAATTGATGGATCCATCAACTCCACAAGATGCTGTACAGCTCCAGCTTGCACAATCTTGACCTTGTTCTCTGGAAGCATAGACAGATAAAACAATGCAGTTGTTGCATCTTTCCTTCCCCTAGGAGTCCCATTCCCTAGTAGTTCAACCAGAGGCCCAATGGCCTCAGACCTCCCAATCTTTACCCTGTTTTCCTCCACCATAGCAAGGCTAAAGAAAGTGGCAGCTGCGTTCTCCTTAGCTTCAGGGGTTCCTGTACCAAGGACGTGAATTAGAGGTTCAATTACATTGGCCTCAGCAATGGCAATTCTGTTGTCTTCATAGATTGATAGGTTGAGAAGTGTTGTAACAGCATGCTCTTGAATTATTGCATCTGTAGAATATAGCAATTTAACCAAAAAGCTGATTGCTCCATGTTCTGTAATCATAATCCGGTTATCAGTATTAAGTTTCGCAAGACTTCGGAGTTCAGCTATTGCAGCTCTAATAGTTTCAAGTGAATTGCTATTCAAGTTCTCGACCAACTTCTGAACTCTGGCTTCAGCACTTACCAAATCAGATCTGGGCTCAATCTCAGAAGAACAAACAACTTCAGGAAGTTTCTGTGGCTGTTGTCCAACTATACCACCTTTTCTTTCCACAGACAATCTGAGTGGAAATTGGGGTTCGACTTGTGAGAAGGATGGAGTCACAGAAACTGATGGCTCAGATCTTACTTTCTCAGAAGTATCCCTGGTGGAACTCAATCGTCCAATTGATAACACAGGTGAAGCGGTGTCAGTTGTCTCTATAGATATAACTTGTGCAAAAGTAGGATTAGCATTGGAGTCAGAGAAAACACCATCATGAACTTGAGATTTTTCATTGGACATGCAATTGGGACGATCTTCTGAGCTTGTGATTGGCAACCCCCCATACAAACTTGAAATTTGTGCCTTTCTGCTGAAATTTGATATTATATGAGTGTTTACTATTGGAACTGGGCTGCAGCTTCGGGAGTTTTCTACTGTAATTATATGCTCATGCCTGTGAGTTCTGAGATGCATTTCATCAACATGTTCAGATTCTCCTGTACTTTGAATTCGTTCATCATTCTCTTTCAACTTTTCAAGAGTCATAATTTCCATTAGAACCTGCTGGTTTAACTTCGAGCTTAGTTTGTCTAGAATTTTCACCAACAACTTTGTATTTGGTCCAACACTCTCTTATTGATCCTTCAGCACACATTTAATTATGGTGAATAGTTGCACATGCACATGCCTCCCTATTCTGGGAAAATTACTGCAATCCATTAAAACGAGGTGAGGAGTCATAGGTTGAAATCATTTCTCACTAGAAATTCAATATAAAGATGCATAACCAACTACATGCATTCCAAGCCGGCATAATGAGATTTGATAGTCATCAACGGATGGTTCTCGCCAGAATAAAGCAAAATAAGTAGGAAATGGACCAGAAAATACGTGCAACAAACTCAATTAGTAATTACAAAATAAAAGGTAAAAAAAATGAAATTCCTCACAGCCTCGAGAGATGTTGAGCCGACTACAAACAGAAAGTTGTTCGTACGTAGACCCTAGCCGCAGGAACAAGTCCCTGTTTAATCTAAAGACCTTGAACACTAACGATTCTCTATGCAAAACCTAGAGAAATGAAAGAGAGAGCAGTTTTCAGAAGCAAGCATCGCTAACTAAGACTTCATAAGAAGTGTATTCCAATTTAATTATACGTGCCAACTGCGATTCATGCCTCAGATCCCCTTTCTTCTTCTTTACAAGAGAACTACGGTTCCATCTACAACAACACCAAAGTTTACGAGGAAACACAATTTTGGATATTCGATTCAATCAGAAGCATCATAGGAAACAACAGTACAAATAATCCGAAACTCGAGGATAAGACAAGAAAGGCGTAGGATGAACCAATTCCAAAGGAATGAAAGAAAACAACCAATCAAATGGGAAAAAAAAACCAAAACTACGAGGAAGGAGAAGAGAAAATTACCTGGAATACGATAGAAAAGCTAAGCGCGTCTAGTAGCCGCCATCATGGAGTTGGCGCAGAGTGCAGATCATGAAGCGCAAGAATTCAGCTTCTTCCTTCCCGTGCGACTAAATGGATTGGTTATGCTTTTCAATTCCCTGGTCTCGCAGGAAATAAGGAATCAGGAAAACTATGAATCGTTTGAGAAACTTTTAGACGATTCTGAATTTGAGTTGTTTTCGACGTCGAGAAATGTGATTAGGCCTCCTGGAAGATTTACCCTTGTCTCGCAAGAGGAGCATCGTTGACGGTATTTTCAACGCGTTCATACTCCGTGTAAATGAGGGGGATGGTTTGCACTAAATCGCATACCCTTCGGCTTTATTAGGTCCACACCAAGTCAAACGCTCAACAGCTCCCTTATCTACCCTTCGCGCTCCCGCCACGCGTCCATACAACTGAACGATCTGGCAACAGCCCATTTACGTTTCCATTTCCAATTCTTTTTCCTATTTTCCTTTCAAAACAACTTATAAAAAAACAAGGGACTTTTATTTGTTATTTTTAAAATTTAATATATAAAATATAATATTAGAGACCAACTTAATATTTGACAAATATTAATATACTTTTTCTTAAATAACAATCCATAAATCTCTCATCAGATGAGGCCCATTATAGTCGTGGGCTGTCGTGGGCTGGGCCCAGCTTGATCCAAAAAAACCATTCTATTTGTGCGGTAATATTTTCTGTTTATTTCTTCTATTTTTATAAATGTTTTCAAATATATTTAATTTAACTACTTCATTATGCCTCGTATAGATTCAAACGTGTTACTAATATTTCTATGAGCGTGTAAATACACATTTAATTTTTATTAGACCATAGCTACAAACAATTGCATTGATCCTTCTTTGTTCAATGTAATAAAGTTTTTGAAAAAAAAAAAGGGTTTGCAAATTAAGAATGAACTAAATTTAAGAGTGTTCGTATGATAAGATAATTCAACCAATCGGAATTACCCAACTCAAACCATAAATGTTAGGTTATATTTTTTTCGAGTTGGGTTGGATTAAACTTTTGGAAAACTGAAAATTCAATTCGGTTGACTTTCTTTTGTGAGGTAACCAAAAAATAAAGTTACAGCCCAACACAAACCTACCTTACTTAAAAAAATATATTATAATATTTTAACCTTGTAACAAGTGTTGATGATGCGTTTTGACTTATAAACGTTCGATATTTGAACTTTATGGTATTTTAATTATCTACGTGTATTGTGAATAAATATGGTTTTTTTAATAATTAAAAAAACAACCCAACAACAGAACCCAAAACCTAACCTGAAGAATAGATGTTGAGAACAGGGTTCAAAATTTTATTTGAGTTGTTCAGATCACCGAATCATCTAATCCAAAATTTGAAGTTGGTCCAAAATCTTTAACCAAAACGAACCCAAGTGTGTAAACTAGCATTAATTTTACCCAACTGCAACTGTGTATATGACGTAAATGGTAATTAAAGATAGCATTAATTTTACGTGTAAATTCCCTATATGACTTCAATGGTAATTAAAGATAACATTAATTTTACCAAACTGAGTAAACTCCTATATGACTTAAATGGTAATTAAGGATAGCATTAATTTTATCACATGCATATTTAATTTTATAATTAAAATTAGTGAAATTTAAACTTGCTACAATTGATTCACTAAACAAATTACGGATGTAATTTCCTTAATTTACTACGGTGAATAATACATTTGATTCCTTATATGGTTCCCAATAATTGTTTTAAGAAATAAAAAATTAAAAAATAAAAAAGAAAGAAAAAGTTATTATTTTATTTTTATAGGAACAAACTATTTAAAACACTCTAATTTCAACAACTTTTATTTTTTACTCTCAAAAGAAACCCAAAGGCAACCATCAAGAAGTAATTTATCTTTTTTTTTTTTTTTAATTTTGCTTTATTGCCACTCAACGGCGTCACTCCGGTGTCCAGTGCGGCTTTGACGGGCTGAAGTGCACTGAAATTACCCTACGGTCAAGGAGTTGAAGAATGGGTGCGAAAGTTACGCACCGTGGCGTTTTGTACTGATTGATTGACGCACCCCTTGAGATCGCGTAGTCCATGAGCTCTTCAAACGTCCCGTTTTTGACCACCCTGATTTCCAGGGGTCCAATTGAGTTAAAGGAGACTCGGCTTTGGATGTACACCGAATTCAGGCTCTCTTCGATGGTGAGGCAGCACTGATTTAGAATCTCCTCCGGAGGGGAATTCGCAGCGTCTTTAACATGAAGCTCCCAATATATGACGTAATGTCCGGGGATTGTTTTGGTATATGCGTAGCTAGTGTATTCCACTACGCTGGTCTCGAACCTCCGCAAAAGAACTGAAGCGTTTTCCACTGCCTGTTGGAGCTCAGCCTCGTCGGTGTTGTCAACATCAATGCACAACATGGCGTTCTTTCGCTTTACGAATAGGAACTGTGGGGCCATGTTGTGGAACCCCGTGACCTGGAGAACGTCACCGACTCGGTAACGGTAGAGTCCAGCGTAGGTAGTGATTACTAGCTCGTACTTTTTCCCGATTTCCACGTCAGCAAGGTCGACAAGTCGAGGTGGGGAGTTTGGGGAGAGAATTGGAGAGGACGACGTGTCGTATGGGAGGAATTCGAAGTAGGCCATGTTGGGTAGGATGGTGTAGGCTATTTCCGTGGGCTTGCACATTGGGCTCAAATTAACCCCGAAAGAGCACTCCGAGGAAGCGTACGCGGTGCTAACCATGGGTAAACTCCCGCTGTAAAATTCCAGCATGGGAATGTACTGACCCATGGCTCCGCTCACAATCACGTCCAGGTATTTAGTGTTGGGCCAAATTCTTGTGACGATCCCTTCCCAGTCCTCCGTGGAACACTCCTTGGAAACGAATTGGGCCAGCTCCGTGTTTGGGCCTGTTAGGTATTTGGTGATTATACATTCACGGAGAGAAGAGTCTGTGATTTTAGGGTTTAGAGTTCCGGTGGAGATGTCGTGTGACAGTTGTTTCCAGTTGAGCTGGAGAAAGCGGATGACGCGGAGGAGGGTGGAGGCGAAGATAGCTCCGACACGGAGGACTTGGCGGCGCATTAAGAGGCCACATAGCATTTGTGTGTACATGCTTTGGAAGGAATCAGCGCAAAGAATGGCCTCAATTGGGCTCGTGTAATCATTGAAAGGGTCGTATGGTCTAGTCTTGTAGAGGTCGCTCTTGTAGCAGCTGGTGAGCACTGGACGAGCCACCAACCCTCCTGGGGTCTTGGTTTCGGCATGTACGAATAAAAAGTAGAGCCCTTTCCCTTTGTCCAACCCCGGCACGTACCTGATATTTTTGTCGATTATCAAAAAAAAAAAAAAAAAAAAAAAAAAAAAAAAAAAAAAAAAAAAAAAAAAAAAGTAAATTATATTCTAAAATAAATATTTGACTCAAATATAATAATATTATTGTTACAAATTGATGATGGGCATTTGAAGGCTGAAAATCAAGAGACGACGCTCCATTTCTTCTTCAATTGTGGGGATCAGTTTTGGCTTCCCAGCCGATGTCCCAGAACTGCCAATTGGACGTTCAAAATGAATACCCCATTTATGAATCTAAAAGATTCAACAAAGAAAAATAAAGTAAAGTTAACTTCACCTGGTAAGAAGCTCAGAAATGGGATGGGATGAAAAAATAGGGGAGCGATCACCATTAGCGACACGTTCGATGTCGGGCTGGAGATCCTCGTAAGTGACCACCGGAACTTTGGACTTGAAGGTGTCGCGGTTGGTGGCTCCATTGAGCTGGAAGCGGTTGAGATACTCGGTGTGAGCGTTCCTGGTCAGAATCTCAGCCAGCACCCTTTCCTGAACCGAGTCAGTATTTTTAGTGATGTCCTCTATGAAACGGAGTTTGGCATCCATCTGGGAAGCCGGCGGGCCGAGAGGAGATGAAAGCTGAGAATTAACGGCCATTACAACCAAAGCGAGAATTCAAAGAAAGATAGAGGGTTTGGTTATAAGTATCAAGTTAAATTCTCCAAACTGCGTGGTAGTTTAATATATATATATATATAGATAGATGTAATTAACCTTAAAATTTGTTGGCCATAGGAATAATATTCTGCCATAAATATATATATATATATATATATATATATATATATATATATATATATATATATATATATATATATATTTACATAATAATTTTCTGTCCATTTCTTATGATATAAAAAAAATTTATAAACACTAAGGTCTTTCTTTCTTTTTCTTACCTCTTATATACGTCAAGTTATAAATAGGAATATTTTACCTACTAATTAATGTTTATTTAATAAAGATGAAAGAGTCTTTTAAAAGAAATTAATATCTCAACTAACTGTCATTGACTTTAAATTTATGAAATTAATAGTGAAAACTATTTACACATGGATCATTTTAGGATATTTTATCTTCATTAACATATTTATTACAAAAAGATGTCATTCAACTTAAAATTGCTCAAAGCTAAAGAGAATTAGTTTTGAAGTTCTTATGATTGAGTCATCATTACAACTTATTAATAAAATACTAACTATTCATTCGTATATTTTTCCTTTTACTCTCAATTTTTATAAAACTACCTTGATAAAAAACTACATTGATAAACTATCTAATAGGATCTATTTAATTACCAAACCCTAAACCCTATAAGTAATACTCTCTCCACCCAACCAAAAACTATTTAAAAATTTTAACTTTACTCATTTAAATTTTAATATTTGAGAATGAAAATTGATTATTTGAATAAATAGAACCATCCATATTTTAGGCACAACTACTGTTTTTAGAACCTATTAGTACGTTCTCAGCATTTATATTTTGGACAAAAAAAAAAAAGATATAATTTATTACGTTATAAATAAGTGGTATAGATGAGGCCCATTACAAGGAATACAAGCCCAATGTTTGTGGTTTGATGGACCTGTGGTCTGAGATCCGTACGAGCCTGTGCAATATATTAGGCCCATTTAATAGTACCATTTTAAGTTCACTGATTATTCAATTAAGTTCAAAAATAATTTCTCAATGAGTTAAATGTGGAAATGACCAAACGTGTAGTAAAATTTAATGAATTATTATCAGATACCAATTACAGAAAATGTAATTATGAAAGAATACAAATGTAATTACAATGGCCAACAAATTTGTGAAGAGTTAGTACTTATTATTTTTTTAATAGTTAATCCCTCGTTTTTTTCAGTTCAATAGAGTAGTACGACCAACAAGATTGTGAAGAACCTGCTAATGAAGTTGAATTCATAAAATCACTAGAGGTAAAATTGTTACAAGGG